CCTCACTAGTATAAAGGCTTGGTTTGGTCTGATATTTCATTGGTGGTAGTGCCCAGGGTCACTGATGAGGAGTGGAATTCTCTGAAACTAGTCTGGCTCATAAACACACACCCCAATGAAAGAATAGACCATTCCAAGCTTTAACTTGTTGTTAAACAAATGTTTAAACAACTCTACTTATTTAATTATGCATTCAACAGTTGCAGGTCAATTTATATTAAGAATATTAATATATGATAGCTTACAATAATAACTCCTACATAAGCAACAAAAGAAGTGTAATTTTTATTTATGAATGTTTGTGCTAGTACAAAACAAAAATATAACCTGGAAAAAACCAAGGTGGACTAAACTGGAAAGTACTTTTGAAATAAAGTATGGAATTATCCTTTTTATTGAGAAAATACTGGGAAATGTACTATACTTTTTCTCCCAGGGATGAAATTTGTTGCTATTACTGCTTTAGTGCCTGAAAAACAGAACCAAAAAATTAAAGCTTCATGGCTAGTTTTACCACTGCACATGGGCTTAATTTCACTTCTTATTGTTATTAATGAGATGTTTGAATCTACTGTTAAAAGTCAAAAAGTTAGCATTTAATAAACCATTCTGACATTGTTTTAAAAAAGAGATTTCTTGTCCTTACCCTTACCTGCTTGATGTATTTCTTTTTCTTCTATTAGAACTTGCCCTTGTTGATATTAGCTATCTTGGTGATTAGTAAGTTAAATGTATAGAAAACTAACGTAATGGTACAAAGCAAGAAGGAGATGATAAATTAGCATTTTTTACCCTTGCCCCTGTGTGTGTTGGGGGGAGGTATTGCAATATGGTCTGTGTGTGTCTGTCTGTCTGTGTTTCTATGCTCAATATGGGAAATTAGCATGGGACAGTCCTCCCCAGATTTGGTCCAGATCTGGATTCTGGGTCACTTTGAAGTTTTTTTATAATGGGGAGATAGGGTATTTTTGCAGTTTTGGGTTATTAACTCTGTGAAGTTTGATTGGATTTGTACCAAATTTCATGGACACATTAAAGTTGAGACTTCTCACCACACTACAAAATATTATCCAAGTTTTTGAAGCTTAAATTTGATGTTTTCAAATATAAATACATGCAATCTCAAAAAGGAGTAGTGGAGTGAGGGTTTACAATCTCTCCAATTGGAAACGTGACCTGTAGAATCCCTCAGGAATTTATATTGAGGCCTTTGTTATGTATTATGTCTATAATAATTTGTTTATGTTATTGTAAAATAATATCTCTTATATTTTCTGGTGATACTAATGGGCTGGGATTAGCTGACTCTAATGAGAATAGTTTTCTTATTCAAAACTTTTAAAAGACCTTGATGATCTTTATGATGGGGTGACATTGTAAAAATGACTTTGAGTATAGAGAAGCATATAAAGGCTTGTACCTGGGACAAGAAGATTTTAAAAAAGAATTACTGGTGCTCTGAAAAATTTAGAAGGACATGTGTGGGGTTTTCATAAAAATATAATTTTCAGCTGAGTGTGTAGTTGTAGTTAAGAGAATAGAGAATAAACAGTTATGTTAGGTTAAGTAAGTTATATTAAAATTATTTTTAATATTCAAATAAGTAAGTCATGACAACCAAGTCAATATAAAGTTGTGATAGAATGGCATGTATCAGAACTACATTTTGACATTGTTTGGCCTTCACTAGGTGATGTAATGCCACCAAAAATTGATTGCCTTTGAGAATGCTACGTAACAGTCATTTCCAATGCATAGTATTCATATACTCGGATTAAGGCTGCATTTGAAGGTTCTTACACTAGCCAGGAATTCAAAGATAGCTCTAAACATTTGAAGATTCATCAGGTGGCATTCAAGTAGTGTCAGATTTTGTGTTTTAATCTTTTGTTGACAGAAATGTTTGAATAGTAATTACACATTAAATGTCACTCAGATGGAAAATGTTATATTTTCAAGATAACTCACCTTCTCACAAAAAATATCTATCTTTCTCATGCATCCCTTATCTCCCCAAACCCATAATACCACAGCTAATTATCAAGTTGATTATTTAATATGACTATCATGTTTACTAATCAATTAAAAATTCAAGAAAATCATTGCTTAAGGTATATTGTTGTAAAGCAACAGGATATGCTAGGTTAAAGACTTTTAGGTGATGATAAAAACTTCATTTAGGACATAGAATGTTCCATATCAACAACTTGTTTAAAATCCCATCAATCCACGTTTGAATGGCTAAGAATGTGACACAGGAAATAATCTGCATAGGAAGTATGGGAGTGGTGATCCCACAGGACTACACCACTAATACTCAACCTCTATGTTTACAGGAAATTTTAATTTAAGGACAAAAGTATGAGAGCAGTGACCCCATAGGACTACACCTCTGATACTCAACCCTCTGTGTTTACAGGAAATTTTAATTTAAGAACAAGAGTATGGGAGCAGTGACCCCATAGGACTACACCTCTGATACTCAACCCTCTGTGTTTACAGGAAATTTTAATTTAAGAACAAGAGTATGGGAGCAGTGACCCCATAGGACTACACCACTGATACTCAACCATCTGTGTTTACAGGAAATGTGATTTAAGAACAAGAATATTATTTTAACTAGTGTGACCTCAGTTGAAGTGCTGTGAACAGTTCTGGCTCATTTACTTCAACAAGAATATTAGCATACTGAATAGTAGTACAGAAACAGGACACTACATGTAGTAGGTTTCTATCCGACTTAAGTTACGTAGAAAGGCTTAAGACTTTGTATATGTTTTCTTAAAAACATAGAAAAACTGGATGTGACTTGATTCTATTGTGCAAAATTGTAAGTGATCTGGACAGCTTTCTCTGTGAGTGGCTTCTTTGATAGAAAGAAAACTTGGGAAATATGAACTGTAGTAATTTTAATATCAGGGTAATAAGCGTTGGAAGGCCAGTGCAAAGCTTTTTTGTTTACGTGAGTGTTTTTCGAGGATATTATTTTTATTATGATCTGTCTAATTTGTTTCAACTGGATTAGTGAACTTGTAGGTTATCGATAATTCCTTATGATGCTGTAATACCAAAATATTGAGCTAATAAAGATACATTCTGAAGGTATAGGATATTATTTGTATTAATAGAAATGTTATAAGCTTGTAAACAGTTTTTGGTGATGCTCTGGTGTGTGTATGTAGTTTGAATTATTTTACACTTTCATTGGGTAGGTGTTGACATATGGGCATGAAGATCTACATTTGATTTGTTTATTTTGTTTTAGCTGACTCATTTTGTGAGTGACAGATGATCTCCTTCTAATGAATGGCCTTTTGATATTAAATGTATAATTGCTTGGCGTATCTGTCTATCTGTATTATATTTTTTCAACTAATGGAAAAGCTTCAACTCCACACAGAAACAGTATCTCGCTTTTATCACAGAGGAAAAAAATACTTTAGCAATTATTCATCTTGAACAAGAATAATGCATGTATTCAGTTTTATTCTTGTGTACTGGTATTTGTATTATATTTAACGTTGGAACATATCATCAAAATCCTGATTAAATATTGCTTTTGTGAGAAGCATGAATATTGATAGATATAGACAAAATTGTAAGTATATCACTCAATCAAAAAGGCCAGTACAAGTGGCAACAAAATATTAAGGGTAAAAAAAATTATCATCAATAAATTCTTACCTTAGCAAGTTATCTACATTGCTCAGAAATTTAAAGCATGGTATGGAACAAGACTGCACAAATGGTATTAAATCTATCACCCTGGATTTTAAAGACTGCTTAGGATCATAGGCCAGCACACCACAATAGCTCTCATAACTTATTCAAGGCAGACACGAAAGTAAAGAATTGACTTTATGATGCCTTTAGCATCAAAATTGGGGTAAACAACAACAGAAAACCATTATATAAAGGAATGAATCCCAGTTCTTTGCATTGATCCATCATGCTTATACTGCACACTGTTATTCGAGGCAAATGACATTCAGAATCTATCATTGTCAGTCAAGAGCAATGAGCTGAATCCATTTGGAACACACTTGGATGTTCTAAAATGCCTTCTGGAGGATAGAAAAGGCAGTCTTTGAACTCTCACACACTTGTTTCTGCTCTGAAAAAGGGGTGGCAGTCTATTCCACTAGATGTGTACCAACGGTTAATACTAGTAACAGAATCCAGGCTGTGAATAATGTTTGTGGTGGAATTTCTCTCTCTTATGGCAAAATACAACATCCCCTTTCTCAAAATATATTCTCCCAATATGTTTGAGCTTTGAAATGTAGAAGAAGAGCCACAACAACACATCCCTGACCCATTTTATAGTATGCACATATGTACACACCTTACCAAATTTATTTGAAAAAAAATAATTTGATAATAACACCCAGCCCATGATTTGCTGCATATTTTGAATTTATTGTAAAATCTTTACAATTTCTTATTCCATTTTATGTTCAAAATGTACAAATTGAGTATTATTTTTGCACCAGACATTAAAACTACAATTATGACCAGCATTTATGAACCAATTACATCACAAGATACTGTTAAGCTCAGTTATTTTACTGTTATGTTGATCTTTTCTAGGTTTAAAAACTACAAGGTATAAGAATAATACAAAACTTATTGGTTTCTGAGAGGACATAAATGTCAGAAATAATTTGTGGAATTAATTGCAATATTCAGGTTTTTTGTCTAAATGTTTTTGTATGGACTTGTATGCTATTAGAGACCCTGTGACCAACAAAGTCAATGGACCACAATCAAAGAGATTTGTTGCTTAGATAATTTAGAAAACCATCGTGTTCCATATAACAATTCTAAGTTTAAGCTATAAAGTCTGTTGCCTAAAAAATTTATTCAATTTCTTGAAAGCTTGTGTTATGAGACATTTATTTTCTGCTTTTAACTTTTCTGTCTAATGGATATTTTAAATTGGTAATTTATGAGATGAAAGTTAAACATTATCCATATTGCTTACTTAATAATATGTATGTATAATCATGAAGTTGAATTTGTTAATATTACAACTGACTAATAAAATTAATGAAACTAGAAATTTTGTTATTAAGGGAGTATCTTTTGCTGTGTGAGTGTTAAGAAGTATATTTTTTTCATTCATAAGTAGTGTGTTTGGAAACAGGTGAACTATTTTCTAAAATTCTGAAATGTTAAATTTACTGCGTTTTTGACGTGCTACAGTTGTTATTCTTAACTTATTTTAGGCCCAATGTTTTAGACAATTTTGCCTTGTTATCTGGCCAAGTGAACACATTAATGAAGATCTTGAAGAATGATAAAACTCCGTTGCTAAGAAATCGGGTTTTGCTGCCATTGGCACTTTCTCCTGAAAGAGATGAAGAGCTAGTAGTAAGTGAATATCTTAGACTATACTTCAATAATTTGCCTTGGCATTTTTCAAACAAAAGAAACATAATATAATAAATACTACTGTTAACTCTCTCACTATGGGTCTTCCTATGGTCAGGGGTCAAAGAGCATGTCGTCATGTTTCTAAACTTACATTCAAAATTTTATTGGTCTACTATTTTATGAATGTGTGCCAATAGGTTTGGTATCAAATTGTAGATTATAATTTAAGTTTTAGTATTATACATTAGTTAATTTCTTAATATAAAGCTAAATATTAAAACAAAATTTCTAAATATTGATTTTTGTGTGTGTATCACATGGTATGTTGAATACAACTTTGGTTCAAATTAGATGTTTGGGATGTCCAAATACAAAGTCTATAGTTTCGTACGAATTAGAAGCTCAAATTACTGATATTGACAAGATAAAATATAAAATAAGAACCTCCTATCTTTTCTATTTGCTGAAATATCGCTACATTTAATGAGTCAAACACACTGGCTCTGCCCACCTCTTTCCATTTTTGGAAATGCTTACATACACCTACGTCTGTCTATGATGTGTGAATAACCAATCACAAGCTCAGAATGACCCCCTGGTGGTTTTTCAGTCTCTAGAAGGTGTGAAGCTCCCAAGATTATTTCTTTGTCTTGAATTGTGAAAGAAGCGGTAAGTGAAAATGTTGTCTGAAAAACAATTTTTTTTCCTCAAATAGTTAATAAGCCTGATAAATTACAGAAGAATTCTGAAATATTGATAGAGTAATTTATAATATTTGGTTATTTCAAAATGCATATATAAAATCTCAAAAAATTTAGTTTTACATCCTCCACGTGTGAAATTTGACAAGGCTTAGTAAATTTCGGCAAGCAGGCAAATGAGTACAAAGTTTGTAAGTAGAAAAAATCATTGTTTTCTATATTTCTTTGTTCAATGTTTTAAGAAAAATAACTGAAATTTAAGAAGTTATTTATAAATAGTAATAATATATATGCATATGTAATGTATTATAACTGAAATGTGACTTTATTTTACAAAATACCAGTTCTCTAGAACAAACCAAAGACAGGTCACTTTGTAAAGGCCAGTCTTATACTATTGGATATGGTAATGTGAGTACACGTGTGCCACGTCATTGCAACTTCTGTAATGTTAGTTAGACACAACTGAAGGATCAATGAAATCAGCATTGTAAAACGAATAATGAAATAAATATTGCAGTACCGTTATAGGTACTGGTTGTCAACTTATTGTCATAACGGATAATGTCTGTAGTAATAGCACCCAAGTGCATTGAGGATATCCCATATATCAGACAATATCCAAATGCCGATGTCAATCTAGTCAGCCGTAATGGAAAATCATATATAAAAAAAAATCATTAATCAAATAAGGGTATGAAGCTGAGTGCTTATACCCACAACATCTAAGCTTCTACTGCCTTTTACTGTCTGTAACCAGTTGTGGGAAGGCAGTTACCCTTAAATTTCTTAAAGTAGAAATGAAGCCACCCTAATATTTTTACTAATTAAACTCCCAACCTCCACCTTGTTATAATTTATGGTCATTCTAGGATGAAAAATGCATAACTTGTATCTATATCCGAATTTTTTATGTTGGTTTTGAGGTCAGTCAAATCCATACAGAGATACAATAGTGAAAATAACAGATAAAATGTAATGTTTTTTCTAACAAAGCATTTGATAATTAACTGGAGTTTACTAAGAAGCTATAAAGATTTTGCATGTGGAATTTGACAATTTTCTGATGCATAAAAGTATTTTTAATCTTAAAATCAAAATTACTTTGCATGTTGGATAGTCAACATTCAAAAAGAAAAAAATGCATGAGCAAATCATTACTTAAAAAATCTGGTATTTTGTGTAATAAACCCTTGTAATGTTTACTGATAATCTGCAAAATTTCGTGAAGATGGGCTTCATGTATTAAAAGCTATAGTTTGAAATCTAACAAGTACAAATGATTATGAGGTTGGTTCTTGGGACTAAGACCGTAGTGAGAGTTAACGGGTGATTCCATTTAGTATTGCAATGTTTTTTTAATCTTTAACATTTCAGATTCAGCTCCAAATTGGAAAATATTATTATTAAACAAAGGTAAGTATAAAAACTTCAAATTTATATCTAAAATTTTAATATGTCAAATTTCTAAAAAGCTACCTACAATTTACCTGGGATTTTGGATGTGTAGGTAAAATGTGAAATAGCCAGTTTTTTTATTGTTCTGTTTTTTTTTTTTGTTTTTTTTTTTTTGCTGAATCTAATTTGGTGAACATTCCAAGTTTTGGTGTGGGATAGAGGGGAAGAAAAAAATTTAATTTTTGTACATGGATAAACATTGCAGATTCATACTTATTTATATGAACTTAGTTCTGCAAATAATACTATATCAACAAAGTTATTTTTTACACAACACAATTACTTTAAAGTTATAAAATGTAAATGAACCTTTATATGAAAGGTAGGATGCTGCTTTTCAATTCTTTTGTGTAAAGGTTCAATTTAATGTATAAAGAATTACGAAAGAATGGTTAATAAAGCATTGATGTGAATAGTCTTGTTTGTTTTGTCAGTTTTATAGAGACTTTGTTCAAATTTTAAAGTTTTCATAAGATTTTTATTTTATTTTTTTCATTATTATTATTATTATAAACAGCAAGTGTTCTAACAGATTATTTGTAATCCATACAATTACTTCTCAGAATCTTTCTTGTTTTGTCAATAGATTTTCAATATAAACATGAAGGAAAGTCATCTTGTGTATGTTACTTTGAAATGCATCTTCTTAGACAATAAATTATGGATCAGGTTTTATCAAGAAAAATAACACCACATAAATTTTGTACTGTTTTTGCACCTTAGCTAGCTTTGTAACATAGGAAAGATGTCCCAGTCAGAATGAAGTTTATAATGCAAACTTTTTTTTTCTAGGATTCAGTTTGTATTTTATCAGTATACAAATTGTCCAGAAAGATAAGAATGTAAAACTTTTATAAAAATTTCTTTTGACAATACCAACATTTAATTAAATAATATACTCTGATGAAATGTTAACCCTAACTTTGTTGTTGTTAAGATTGTACTATGAGTGTTAATATACTTCTAATACACTTTGCAACATCACAAACTTTTAAATTAAGAGGATATAGGAAGTGTAGCCAGCCTTGGTGAGAGATATGAAGAAATACAAAGGTAGTTTTTTGTTTTTTTATCTTTTGGCATAGAAAAACGTGTGGATGATACAGTTAAGGTTTCCAAAATTGTTAGGGATTTGAATAGATCATCAATTAGACTGTTTTATTATATTATGAAAATATTTGTATAAAAAAGTTTTGAGATGCATATTTTTTGTAATTGTTTGAATTATCAGTATATAGATTTAGCTTGAGTGATGTACGTGGGTCTTCTATGTAAAGAATTATTAACTTTGAACAAGTAAGTACACTTTAAACATGAGCCAGTAGTTCAAGACATGTTTCATTGTCCCAGTAGGAGAATTTCACACATTAAGCAATAATTTCAGACTTTTCTATGGAGACTGCATTCGTCCTTTGCCAATTTACATCTTACATCAACAGTAATATAGAGAAAAGATAATTATTTTTATATTAAGATATAATGGTGCCACAATTTTGAAGCAACAGTAATATAGAGAAAAGATAATTATTTTTATATTAAGATATAATAGTGCCACAATTTTGAAGCAACAGTAATATAGAGAAAAGATAATTATTTTTATATTAAGATATAATTGTTATAGTAACCCCAAAATGTGTATGAATAAATCTTCCCTAACTAGGCTTGAACTCCAAATCCCTTGTGCACATTAATGTTTTTTTAGACTAATGCATTCCCAACTGAATTACGAGGACTTCAAGCACCAACCTGATTTCCTTCACCTCATTCACCACCAAGCTTTATATTTCATAATGAAAATCCATATTTGTTTGCTACTTTTTTGTTGTTGCAGTTTGTTTAACTAACACCAAAAATCTATGGTAGAAACTGACGGAGAACCGTGTTCAAGCTTTCAGTCATGAAGTGGTGCCAGATTATCTTCGTACCAAACTTGATCCTGAAGTGGAAAGTGTTGAACAGCAAATTCTTGCAAAGGCCAATCTAACACCTGCTGATGCAGCTCAGGTTCGTAAGATGGGCTTTACTTAGTTCTGATGTTAAATGTATTGTAGGTGTGTTTCAAAAACTTGTATGCAACCATTTTCATAAAGTTTTTGAACAATTTGTCTCTCAGGACTAAAACGTAATTTTTTGAAAGGTGTTACTTTGTGAAATACAACATGTACTGAATAATTGTGTTTACTTAAACACCAACAGATGATTTTTATCTAAACAAAATACATATAACAATTTTAACCATAGATAAAACATAGAAAATGAATACAACTATGTATCTAGATTCAGTTGCCCATACTATTTTTCAATATTTTTTATTATTATATTTTGTAAGGATAAAGAAGATCATTTTGATTGGAACAACAAAATAAAGTTAATGCAGAAGACCCCAAAGTCATGCCCAATACATTATAATAACATACAGAAATCAGGTTTTCTTACAGTAAACCTCCACTTGAAACTAAACATATACAGGAAGGACAATTATACCTCATTTTACATTTACCTTTCAAAAGTGAATCTATTAAACTTTCAACAAAAATAAAATACCATTGGTTTTTAATAACATAAAACATATTCAAATGCATTAAATTTTTTTTCTTGTACTCATCTTCACACAAACTATTAATGACTTTATAAGCTGTTGTAGTTGTGTATCTTACCTAAATAATATGTGAACCTAAAACCTTGTAATTCAACATTAAATAAATAATTATTATTTATATCCAGTATTTTAATGTGTTGTGATATCATTGATTTAATTCTAAAATTATAATGCTTGGCTGTTTTGCAGGCAAATGTGAGTAAGAATTAATTTTTTAGTGAGATTCTTATAATCTGGTGATGATTCCAGTCACAGGTGTGTAAAGAGTTTCTTATATTATAATTCATTGTTACTTGTTATAAAAATATGTTTATCACCAAACATCACCTGTTAAAAGTCCAATTTCTGCCTCTTGCATAACTTTTGCATATGCTGTGTTTTTAGCCATGGCGTAGTGGCTCTGAATTTTTCAAGTACAAACTTTTAGCTCATAGCTCTGTCATCTCTTGGCTGATTTAAGATTTAATTACAGTTTTGGATTCAGGAGGTCAAACCCTTTTGATTTATATATTTGACCATGCCCAAGGTCTCGTAGATTGATTTACTCTAATCCTGCCAAAAGAATTTCAAGTGCCACTGCTGTTGAGGATTCCATCTTGTTGTGAATTGATTTTAGAATGTTTACACAAAAAAATAACATGATGAGATGACAATCATAGGTAAAATGTGAGAATGAATTTTATGGCATAGATTATGTAAAAGATTTGTCAAACACCATAGTGCAGTTAGTGTATACTTAACTTATAAAAATAAGTAGGTTTGATGGATATTTGATTCTCATTTTATGAACATTTTAAACACTACGGTATAATTTTTAACGAGCATGTTTTAATCTATGTTTAGAGAAGATTTCTGTTGAACTTTCATTATCATAAAATTCAATTTTAAAGTAGATGCTTGTGACAGTTAATTTTTGGTCAGTTGATAGCCATACTATGTTGCTAAAACAAATCAGTATAGAGAACTTAAACACAATGTGCTCTTGAAGTATGTTAACTTATATCTGTTAACCTTGGGATAAGTTACCAGTATTAAAGAAATTTGCAGACTGGTATGTGAACAGAAATGACATATTTTTTTCTTGTAGTTCTTATAATTTTGTAGTTACTTCATATAAATTTTGCTAATTAGAGAAACTGAAATTGTCATGGTTGTTAAAATACATAAATTCACCCATACCTTCGATATCTAGCTGTCCAGATTTGTCCCTAGAAAGTGACAATTGTTTTGAATTGTTTGAAATAACACCTGGAGAAACGGTTTATTGAAATGTGTTGTACTATATAAAAACATTCTACTGAACAAGTGGGAATTTTTTGAGCTAGAATTCTTAATACATTGAAATAGATTTAATACATAAAAGTTGTGTGATGATCTTAAATCATAATATACTTTATGTACAACTCTACAGGTTATAACAGATTCCAGTCTGTTTGAAAAGAAGCTAAATTTTGGCTTAACTACAGAAAGAAGATATGGACGTGTTGCCTTTGTGAAAATAAAATATTGTTATAAGCATTTTATCAATTACATAAAATGTAGAACATTGCTTGCAATTTTTGATTTGAACATAGAGCAAATACGATGGTGAAAGGAAAGGCACAGAAAATTAAATTTTTAGGTATTTGTGATACTAATTTAATGTAATTTGCTCTTGAGCTCTTTCTAAGATGAAGTTTTATTTTTATTCTCACAGAAACAAATTACAAGTCTGAATAAAATATGCACAAATGTTATAGATTTAGTGAAGTCAGCAAGGGATGCTTGGGAAAGTGAAACTGGTGAGTAAATGGAATTTAGGAGCCTACCTTTTAAGTTGAAGTAAAACAAAAACTTGAGATATCAGTTACTGTTATAAAAACATGAGAAATATCTGTAGGTTCTAAAACTTTCATTCAAACATAGGCTAATTATATGAAATTTAAAGATAGGGAGATACAATTTCATAGGTAAAAAAAAACAACTAATTATTTAATTTTTCCTGTAACACAGCTGTGGAGATTTCATTTAAACAAAAATATTTGTCATGAAGAAGGATGGAAAGTATCTTACATTATTGTTCATAAATAAATGATCTTCTTAACAGAGAGAAAATATCAGTTGATGTTACACAAGTATTTGTGTTATCCATTTCCTCTTATTTTTTAATATAATTCAAATTTTCCCATGACCCTATGGTTCTGTGGTTTGTTTATAGGCCAGAGAGCAAGTGTAACACAGACATCTTCCATGACTGACACAAATACGTTAATCAGTGCTATCAGTCTAGGAAAAGGACTTAAACCATCCACTGGTCCCATGAACCAGGCAAGCTCTCAGCAAGGCCCTATTCCTCAAGTTCAACCATCTAGGTCTGGTAAGTGTAAAAATAAATATTCCAAGTATGGTACTTAAAAAAACAATAAAACATTATCGAATACTCCATTCTAAGTTAATTTACTTAAGTTGCTGTCTTCCAGGAACTCAGCTGTTGAGTAAGTAGCTTTACCTTTTTAACCATTCATTTTCCAAACATTCAATGTTATTAAACAAATGATGCTTCTCATAGGTCTCAAAACATTAAACGTTTTGTAGTAATATGTATGTGCTGTTACATCACAAGTTGTACATTACTTATGAATGTTCATCAGAGGGAGGAGCATATTATGAATACCTTGTTTTGAATGACAGTTTACATGTTCTTGCTAATTTTCAAGCAAATCCATCTCCAACCTGAGAGCCTTAAATTGTCTATTGATCTTCATTTCGGGAGAAGAAATTGAAAATTTTTCGATATCAAAAATTAGTTGTTATTTTGAAACACCATTTATTTGTCCATGCTAATCTTCATATAAATCCATATATAGCCAATTGCGAGAGTTCCTAAAATCTAAACAAAAATACTTACTTTGAGCAGTTTCTTACATGACCTGGTCAGTTTTTATGTAAGTTGGTGCATCCAGTCTTGAGAGCCCCCCCCCCCTCCAAAGAAAAGACTTTAACTCCAAGTTTGAAAATTTTCAAAAGCTGAAGTTAGATTACAGGTGGTTAGGGTACTTAATTAACAATCTGTGGTTCTAGTTATCAAAACCCTTTGACAGACAGACTCATCATTTCAACCACAGGAGTATTGTCATGTGGTGGTTAATCTCGCTGTTTGTAGCTAAAATGTAGGCAAAGAGTTGGTGATTGATGATGTTGACTAGCTGCCTTCTTTTTAGTCTATCACTTCAATATTAGGGATGGCTGGCACAGATAGTTCTTGAGTAGCTTTGCATGGAATTTCAATAAACAATCAAGGTTCTTGGTTTGAGTAGTTTAGGCCAGAGTTTTTTTTATTTTTAGTGTTGCAAAAATTTTCCAATGAAGCTAGGGATCGGAGGAAGGAAAAAATAAAAAAATTGTGCCATCAGTTATTAGCGTGCATGTAATTTAGGTGTCTAAAATTCCCTGATGCAACATTCTCATCTTCATTCAATGTTCGGCCTATCAAGTCACCAATGTTTTCATCCAAATTAATTTTTTGTATTGAATGTATCACAATATCTAAGTTTTTCCTTATAATTACTGAGATCTATAATGTCATTCTACATATGACTCACAAGACACACAACTGTTTCATCTGCTCTGCACAGTGAAAAATAGCATAATTGATTGCTTTTAAATTTGTGAAATTGCATTGTAAAAATATGTGCTCAAGATTGTGGTGCATGTTTGTACGTAAAAATAGTACAGATTTCTCAAAGTATTACGGTATATGTATTACTGCAATGTTTGATAATTTTACCATAATGCTTTCATTTTTTTTTTCTCATGAGCAAAATGCTTATTTCAAAATTAAAGAAAGGAAAGAAGAGAAATCTGATTTTGTTTTCTTGAAAACATGAAATTCCACATCAAAAATAAAAAAAAGATGGAAATGTGAATTATATTTTTTGGGGGGAAATAAAAATTTTGAAGTCAGCAGTATCATAAAACAAAAAATAAAATAATCCTGGCCGTAATACCACTTGTCAAGAGTCTCAATCAAACCTGAAAGCCCAGAAAAAAAAACTTTTATCTCTCATTTTTGGCATTCCTTCATGACTTCTTTTAAAACATTTTCTTTGTTATATTGTATGGGGTTCAAGAGCCTAGATACAAAATGTCATTTTGTCACAAGTTTTGTGAAAAGCTAAAAATTCAATTTTACATAGGAACACCCATTATGAATTATTTTATGGATAAAATGGGATACAATTTAAATTACATCATTCTTTAATAGCCCATGACAGTTTACATGTTCTTGCCAATTTTTAAGCAAATCCATCTCCAACTTAGAGATCCTTAAATTCCCTATTAATCTCCATTTAGGGAGAGGAAATTGAAAACTTTTCAATATCAAAAATTAGTTGTTGTTTTGAATTACTATTTATATGTCCATGCTAATTTTCATATAAATCCATAGAACCAGTTATGAGAGTTTCTAAAATCTAAACAAAAATACTTATTTTGAGCAGTTTCTTTACATGACCTTGTAAGTTGATGCATCCAGTCTTGAGAGCCCCCCCCCCCCCAAAAAAAAAGAAACAACAACAACTTTGATTCCTATATGAAGCTACAGTTTGAAAATTTTCAAATAGCCCATGAAAGGTTTCCAGTGAGGATAACTTGTAAAAAGTAACAATTCAGCTTTACTCTTTTTATCTTCTGTTTTCCTGAGATCTTTCACCACAGCTTATCTGGCCAGTTGGGTTACAATATAGAAAGTCTTAGTTTAAATGCTATCTTTAGCAGTCATGTATAAGACAATTCTTAGGGTGAAGAATTACTTAAATGGTTGAACATGAAATTTAGTAGTAATATGTGTGTGAAATTATGTTATAATAAGGCTGATATTAATTTAAATCACATCATTCTTCACTGACCCAACACAGGTTTCTATTGAGGAGAGCATACATGATACACATTATTGCTAAATATCATGCTCTGCCAATTGAGGCTTTCTACATCCTGAGATTTGTTGTTGTTTTATCTGAGACTTGGTTTGTTGCAGCCCTGCTAGACTGATGAGATTTGGCATTTAATGAAAGTCATAGTTGGAAGTGACATAAAATAGACAAGATTTAATTGAAAGTGTATGTTGTTCTCACTGGAAACCAGTGTTTTACTGGATCAGTAAAAAGTTAAGTGTTAAAAATACAATATCAATCTTACTGTGGTGTAATATACATATCAAACTTGTTCTTTTATATAGTAATCTATATATATATATCAGCCAAATATCAGTCTGTCACACTCTATATCTCCAGAATGGTTAATCATAGAAAAAAATTATTTATCAAAATGCTTCTTTTCAAGAGTATCTATATAAATAATACATTTGCATTTATCTGTCTGGAACTTTTCTTGCAAATTTCTTCATTAAATGCTACATATCTCATATAGTTAGAAAGGCCTTTGTCCAACGAGTACGGAATACATATCTGCTTTTCCATTCAGGATCACATTACCTGTTTTTGCTTAGTCAAACGTTTTAATGAAACGAGTATACTACACAATGGCACGATGTCTTTATCATCACATGATGACTGGCTTCAATTTCATCTTTAGTTTTTTTATTTGCAAACATTTCACACAAACAAAACTTAACTAAGAAAATGAACATTACATTAACTACAATTGCTATGGGCTTTCTCGACTTACTTAGGTCTAAAATATCCATGCGCAGTTCGTTCAAAACCATACGCTTATGACTTTGTGAACATACATTTAGACGTTTCTGGATATGCAGCTAAGTTTGCCTTCATTACAACTTTACATTTGCTTTACTTTGTAATAATTTAACTTCAGTTCCTTTCATGTACTGCTATAAACACCTTTTATCTATTTGTTTCTTTACTATGAGTTTTATTTTTCGTTTTTTGAGTTTCTTTGTTTCAACTCATAAAACTGTGTCATATACTGAATGCTCATAACTGTTTCATACTTTGTACAATATTATAAATACCATTACTTTTGATAAAAGAGTTAGCACAAAGGATCACATATAAAGTGTAATAGATTTAAAATAAGACCCAAAACTTGAGCGCTTTTGAATAGTTGACTATTCTTCTTTTTGTTCTCCTGAAGAAGAATAGTCAACTATTCGAAAGCGCTTGATTTTGGGTCTTATTTTGAGTCTATAAATACCATTACTTTATTGTTTACTTTACCTGCAGTTTTAGTAAATATAGTTACATCTATGTGAGTTTGTTTGTCTGACTGCATACAGTTTTTTCAAATAGACCAGGATTTATTGATCTAACACACAATGCCTGCAAGAAAGTGTAGCTTAAATGGTGTGCATGAAAATGATAGAATATGGAAAATTCACATGAAGGGCATGAAACTTCTGCAAACGTTTTGGAAGTCACAGCTAGTATTACAGGAACATTATTAATTAAGTACAATTCCAAAAATTTCATATTGATAGCAACATTGGTCCATCACTCTTCATATGTAACACTTATTAAGAAAAAATGGGACTTCCTCCATCAACTGATTGAAAGAAATATTTCAAAGATAGGAGCATGTACAGAAAAAAATGCATAAAGATAAGAATATGTTTGAGTATATACTTGTTGTTGGCTTTTGTTATTTCTTTTTTTTTTTTTTTCATGTTGGAATTATATACATGCATGATTTTATTGTACCATGTCAAATAAGTTTATTTGAATTAAATTTAATATCTTCCCCTGGACACTTGTTATAGAAATGATAAATGTCAAAAAGTGCTCACTTCAGTAGCAGTCTTTTCTTACACTCAGTAAATTGACAAGAAATGATGGCATTTAGTGGGAAAAAAAAATCCCTACAGCTACTTAGCAAACCTGAACACACTATTGTGCTAGATGCACCTATTGCATCGAAACCCAAACAATTTTGCCAGCAATGCATTGTAGTCAGTCTACTATGCTTAGAAATAAATGCAATGCAACTTTTCTTATTGAAATGACACACGGAATTACAAAAAGACAGTTGTAAATGGCCCACTAGACAATCATATTGCATTTATGCTCTGATCCAAATGATTGGGTTGACTGCACATTTTATATTTGTTCATCACAATTTTTAGGAAATTTACTGTTGAATTGTTTTAATGGGCATGTGCCAGTTATAAAATATTTTCATTATTATCAAAAGCAAGTTAACTTTTCACTCTTGCAGTTTTCTCATACTTTTTGTTCAAATTTTGAAGATTTTAGTTAGAGCCAACAGTATTACAAAACTCGGTAATCTGTAGAAAGAACGTGTCCATCCCCACATGTCACAGTGTTAAATTGATTTTCGTAACAGTATTCTATGATAGTGGTCTAAATTAAAAGTTAATATATATATGTATATGACTTATCTATTTTCCATCTTTGAAAAATGTAGCTTAAGAAACAGTAGAAACATGGTGTGGTAAAAAATGCATATTTGAAAACTTTCTATTGTGAATAACACAAGAAGTATATTGTATAAGCATTAGGACTAGATTGTACAGTACTTCATTTGTTTGAATCAAAATACTGGTAAAAATACTACAGTTTTTCTTACTATCTAGTTTTAAAAGTTTTTGTATATTCAGTATCTTAGATAAAGCCCCAAGTGATATTAAAACAAGTATCAAAGCTGCTAACACTGTCTACAGGTTCATAGTATTTAACTGTCTAATCTTCAGTGTTTTTGTATTTTCAGTATCTTCAGGTAAAGCTCCAAGTGCTGTCAAAACAAATATCAAAGCTGCTAACACTGTCTACAGGTTCATAATATTTAACTGTCTAATCTTCAGTGTTTTTGTATTTTCAGTATCTTCAGGTAAAGCTCCAAGTGCTGTCAAAACAAATATCAAAGCTGCTAACACTGTGCATCCATATGGAAGATGAGATGAATGTTTTTAATATAGTTTCCAGTATGGTGAAAGATGGACTGTCTTGGATCAGTGGAGATTCTAGTATTTTGTTTAAAACATGTTAGTAAAATATCATGTACAATTATTCTTTTCACTTCATGATATTGTACGTATGTGGCATGAAATAAAGTAAAAAAAAATCATTTATTTAAAACATAAATACCATCTCAGTACTTTAGTACTTAAAAATGTCATTGTTTGACATTTTTATGTGTATAATAACATTTAGAATGTATACCCAATCATGATTAATAAGAATCGGGGTAATTCTAAAAATATTACAAATATATGTTTTTTGCTTGTTGTGAACTAATGGAATATTTGTCAAAGTTTGCATATTTAGAAGACATTCATACCAACATAACCATGCTAAGTGTGATAAATGTTCAATAAAGATAAAAGTAAATAAGTTATAATAAATAAAATATCCAAAGACATTTTTATATTATAATTGTGTATCGGTATTCTCAAGAATTAGCTGATATTGCCATATTTCTTAAGCCAAGTTAATTTTTTTAGACATTTATTATCTACAATTATATTAAATTATTATTGGAAGTAACAGAGTGATGTGCTTAGTTCAACATTTTCACTTATATACTGTAAGCTGTTATGTATAAAAACATTAAACTCGTATAATCTTACATTTGTTTGGAGATCTTGTATTGAAGTACGTTTTTCTTTCACCACTTATTAATGAAGAATTTGACAGCCTTCACTTATCTCTGTATTATGAAATCTATATCATTATAAGTATTTCACAGAACACACATAAAAAATGAAACAAAATAGAATTTGACTGTTAAAAATGGAAGCTGGTTTTGTTTGAGATGTTTTTTTGTATTAACAAACCAGTTTCTGATATTAACCTTTGTATTGAAATGAATCAGTGAAAAATTAAACTAACTTAAATACACAGTAACGTGTGATATTGTTTAGGAAATACTGTGTAGTCAATTATATCCCTGAGAGTCAAAGTGCACATGTCGTGACCTCTTACACAGTACCAGTTAACATGGTATTATATATTTTATGTTAGAGTTATCAACTATTCATTTTATCCTACGTTGCTTGTAAAGGAAAGTAAATACCAGATACAGTATACAGGGATACTGAATTAAACTTTGATTATATACATCTCAGAGGTTCTAGAAGTTACATAAATGCACTATGCAAACTGTACAATGGAAAAAAGTATTTTTATTCTTCACATGGAAATCATCTTGCACTCCGACTTGTCTGAATTAAACTGACATCAACAACTCACAGACAAATCTTGAGTACAAATACTTTTGTAACTGTTTTTTTGTGTGTGTGTACAACAGACTTGTACATTTTTCTTAAAGCTTGCCATCTTTTGTGTAGATACACTTAGTAAATTTGGAAATAAAGTCAACATTCCTTCTCCATTACAGAGCTGGTTCTATGGACTGACCTTTCTGTGCACATTCAGTTAAACTAGTTTAATATCAAATAGTGTCTGAAAAAATATTTTGACCATTTTTGAATATTGTTACATAAAATGTTGTAAAATAAGTATAACAGCTGTGTTGTACAACTTTGCATAGTTTTTACGTTATATTCACCATGTGCAAATTGTAAAAAGACAATTCTTTTTTTTTGCATGTTTCTAGTAAAATGTTACACAAGTCTACCTAAATACAATCACTATTCATCTAATAACATTCACAATAAAAATCTTAAGCTGTGGTATCTTTGATACACTATTCTTATGTAGTATACTCTACTTATTACTAACATATTATTTTCACATTCAAGGTGGTTTTATGTATTTTGAATGTGATTGTATTATGCTGAATGTAGGAAAATTTAGTATATTTTATTCATTATGAAAATGTGACACAAAATTATCTTTAATATTAAAGTAGTAATACTGTCAAACAGAAAATTTAAATATCAGTGAAAACTTTAAATAAACGTTCCATTCATTATTTGTTAAAAAAGGAACCCTTCAACAAACTTAAATCTTTCTTCTGTCTAGATTTGCTTCCTATAATTTATTTTTTAATTAGTGTAATTGCATATGCTTTTTAATGTTTAGTGAGTAACCTTCTGAACTTAATAACTAATTCAAAGATACAATAACAGTAACTTTTACAGTAGGCAACTTGTCCTCACCAGCAGGAGTCTGTAATGTTCTCTGAAATTAAACTGCCTTTTTGAATGAAACTTTTATTTGATGATAACCTGAAACTATGAGTTGAAATGTTGTAATTCTTAAAATCATCTATGGGTTACCTTTAACTAGAGTCAATTGTGTCTATACTTGACCATTTATCACATACAGCATCAGGACAGGAGATGTAACGTGTAGAAGATTCAGTGCCAGTACCACTGCGTGTACCAAAGATGTCTGTGGAATATTAGTAAAACTCTCAACTTACAGTCTCAACATTTTGTTAAGACAGTTATTATGCAATGGTGGTACTTTGATGTGACTAAGAATCAACACTGACAGTATTACTGTAATAAAATATAGAGAATCAAACAAGAATTGGCTTTGAAATATATAAACTTTATTATTTTTTAGAAATGTAACAGCAAACACTTAACTTTAAAATGAATAGTTTTGCAATATAAGGACATTCAAATAAACATTGAAATGTCAATATGATAATTCTATTAACACTCAATCTGCGAACTGATGAGACTGACTTCTTGGGATTGCGTGGTTTATAGAAGAATATCAAGATTTCCAGTATTCAACTTAAAACACAAAAATGTACTTCGATAGAGGACTCCATCCATCAATCATAAAATGATTACTCTTTACTGCTAAAATAATTCACCTCTCAATAGTGTATGACCACGAAGATGAAAAATTTAGAAGATTGACTGGACTGTGTTCCTCCAACCTAAAATAGTAAATGGGTTCACTTACGGTAGGTACCGCCCTTAGCTACCTAACAGTGGCAAGTAAGCTTTGAGCCTTCCTCGGCTACATCTATCGACAGAACTCGCAAAACCGAAGAGAAGATACCTTGATAGAGTTCAAGAACCAGATCTTGTATTGTTCAACGTGTGATTTCTGTGAAAGATTGGTTGGTAATATGGGTTTTACTCCCTCATAGTCTAGAAAATAGTATGAATTTGGCAACTCAATTTCGAGATATCGCAAGAGTTAAAATTTCTATTCAGAATTTAAAAAGCACAGTATCATAAAGCTTTTTGGGAATAACTCACCAAGAAATGTATCCCTGACTCGCAAACTGGGTGTTAATGTTAAAATTTATGCTGTTTACAAATTAACTTAAAATGTTATTCCCAACAAGTTATCAAATTTGTTCAATGACATCATTTGTTCTTCCTTCAGATATGTTTAGAAAGTTTTCTATAAAATTGTAATTTTTAAAACATTTTTTTACTGCTCCTTGGCAAAACTATTCTTTTGACCAATGTATATAGAATTTGCATCCCGGTAATTCAGCCGTAAGTTTGAGGGCTTATAATGCTCAGAACTGGTTTTTGATACCCGTGATGGGCATAGCACAGAAAGTCTATTGTGTAGCTTTGAGCTTGTCAACAAACAAACCTGGTGGTTAGGGTGCTCGACTCGCAACCTGCAGATCACGGGTTCGAATTCCATCACCGCACATGCTCGCCCTTTCAGCCGTAAGAACGTTATAATGTGACGGTCAATCCCACTATTCATTAGAAAAAGAGTTGGCAGTGGGTGGTGTTGACTAAGTACGTTTCCTATAGTCTTTCCCTTCAAAATTAGGGACGGTTAGCGCACATAGCCTTCATTTCGCTTTACGCGTACTTCAACAAACAACACTTAATTTCAAAACCTGATAAAATATGTTCTTAAAATTGTTTTTCTTTATAAAAAAGAGAAAGTTTAAGTTTTACATAAATACATCAACAATTGTATATTCTTATTAATGTTATAACTGTTTCCTGAGTATGTGTTTAATGTACTGTAATAACAACATTTATAAAAATGTAGTCCTTATTTTAAATAATGATTTGGTTTTTTCTGAGAGTTGTACATAATTGTTGAGGGCTGTTTACTTACACTTCTCAAAATAACATTAAAAATATTTTAAGGATTTCTAAAACTTTCCTAAAACAAAATTGTGGGAATTGCGTGAAAGAAAAACATCTCGAAATTTGAAGAGTGCTGCCAATGATTTGCTTCGCCATCTTAAACGTTTCACACCAATGGTTATAACCGTCGTCTGTAGAAAATATTTAAGTCTAATTTATTTTGTAAATGGTGAATAAAACTAAATTTTACAAACGTAACTAGGGAGTTTAAGTTTGATAAAACTCGCAATGTATGAAACAAGATTTTATTTTTCACAGAACCACGTTTATTTTAGTAATGTAAGCGGTTTACATTTCTAGCAAAAATAATATATATATATATACAACTTTAATAAAAACAAGTTACAGATATTTAACATGATGCAGTATTTGCGCACCACAATGTGTCCGAGATCAGCCCTTGCAACTCTTCAGTTGTGCATTGTTGATATAACCACACAATGTCACTTTGTCCTTCAAATTATGGCAGACGTTTTGTAGCACGGTACAGACTGTCAAGATTCTCTACTTTAGGTTTTCCAGGTTATTTTGACGTGTGACTAGCCCCAATAACTTGATGTATCTAAAAAAATAAAGTATTGCTTAAAGATAATAATAAAAGATGTGTTTTATGCCAATAGCCACGACGCTCTAAGCATATGTCAGGAAAATCGATATCTATTACGTAATGGAGTCGTGCATCATTCTTCTGAAATCATGTTTCTATAAAAGAACAAAGTAACCTTCTCCTTTAAATCTTGTCAATCAAAAAATGGGCCAACCACATGACATCCTACACTATTTGCACCCTGAAACCCATTATGCTTTATTGGGATCCGTATTGTCGTTTGTGGCAGCTTATTACACTAATGATGTAGAGCATGTTTCTTTGGTGTTCTCAAGTTCGATAATTTCCCTAAGAGTAATCGGGTAAGAACTACAGTGTAATTGGAACCTGACTTTTTCTGGCTTACACTGAGTCTCACTCAAAGAAAGCGGCTGGACACGAGTTCGCGAGAAGTAAAACATTCTTTATTCAAGGTCACAACAATCATAATTACAAACAAGTGTAAATGTGGCACCTTTACTAGAAAGAAATGTGAATGCCAAGTTTAGGTAAACTCTCAATAGTTAAAGTTATATCCTAGTCAAAAGTGTTAAAAGTTCTAAGTTCTTAAAAGAAGTTTCACGAGTTTAAAGTTAAGTGTTGTTCAAGACTGAGAAAACATGACATTATATACTGTTACTAAAAAATGCCATATTTCTTAGAGTGCAGGTTCTACCCACGTGACTGATGATCACTCTCACACCTAAGGAGTATAACATCGCCGAATTTACCAGCAGAAAATATCACTGTCGCTTTCTATACAATGACGTAAAGCATTGTTTCTGTGGTGTTCTCAGGTTCATTGATTTTCCTAAAAGTAATCGGGTAGAAACTACAGAATAACTGGAGCCTGACTTTTTCTGGCTTAGACTGTGTCTCACCCAAAGAAAGAGGCTGGAAACCAGTTTGCGAGAAGTAAAACATTCTTTATTCAAGTCACAACAATCACCATTAAAAACTAGAGAGTACATATGTATGACGTCAAATTG